GATACAGGTAGACACCATAGGATATGGAACAAGTCAAATAGTAGTTAATACTACTATTAAAACTGCATCTTATTTACTGACATAGCAAAATTCGTATCACAGAGCCATTAATAATTAAACCTACTTTTGTTAAAATTTCTACTGAAAATCTGAAAAGGCATAAACTATGAGTTATCAAATTAGGGCATATATGATCCAAGCAGAAGGTAAAACATGTTTTAAGGTCCTCAAACTTGTTCCTTTTATTTGGAAGAACTGTCAAAAAAGTGGAAGGAATCTGACAAATGAAGTCATATGGCATTAAATATTTTGCTATCGGAAAAGGTAGAGTATTCTTTTAAAAGAAAGATTATAGAATACCTGCTTACAAGTGCTTACTATGTGAAAATGTCAACACACAGAACTCATAAATACTTGTGTACCAAATTTCAAGACTGCAGAGTTTATAGTTGTATGGAAAAATGTATCTTGTCATGACAAAATTAACACTGTGGAGAGACTTCCAATTTAAATGTATAAAGTAAAAAAAAGTAATGCTATCCCTGTACAAGGCCGTGAAGGCCCATAGGGTTGTGAGACGTTGAGAGTCCCACATTTTCTAGACAATCGGCTCAAAGATGGTGGTAAGGTTGTCAGCCTTACATGATGGCCACGCTTTACTCCCCACGAAAATTATTTAATTAAGTCCTTTAAATATATTTCATGGAAAAAAACTGTAGTGTCTCGATCAAGTGCAAAATTAATTTTTATTTTTACCAACTTTCGAATGACTTCAACTAATATATGCATCAAAGAACTTAATGTTTCAAGGTAGTGTTTAAAACAAAACCTCTTAATGTGAGTCACACTGTAAGTTACAAAACCTGAGACCTGTGATATCTCAGACAAACATAGCCACTAGACAGAATACTGCACTAACAAGAAAAGCTTGATAAAACATTCATCTTGCAAATTCCTGATACAATTAGCTCAAAAAGGACAGAGCTTGACCACAACATGGAGAAGAACTGCAATTTAGAATCAGGGAAGTTCAATGTGGTGATGGTGATTAAGAGAAAGGAAATCATTTTTGTAAACAGTTTCTGTAGGCAGTATATGACACCGTTCTTGACCTGAAACACTTTTTCCTGATGAAGCTTAGTTCCATCTGAGTGGGTATACTGATATCCAGAATAACAGGTATTAGGGCAGTATTAATCTGAGACCGACTTTTAAAGTACCCCTTCACAATCAGACGACTGGTGTGTGGTCCCATTACTGTTACACAAATAGGACCCATACTTTTTTTAACAGACTATTAATTCACAGCAGTAAATCAGTGACATTTTTTTGGCTCTTTTTTGAGAGCATAAAGGAAGATGGGACACATGGTTCTTTCATGTTCTAAATGATGAGTATGAAGTCAGGTTGTGGCCTGAAAGTTCTTCAGACTTAAATCCCTGTGATTCTTATCTGAAGGGAAACTTAAAAAAACAAAGTGCATCAAATAATCCCCGAAATGTTGTATGAATTTAAGCACAATATCTGTGTAACAATTACTTCTACTGTGGTCACAAATAGGACCCATATTTTTTTATCATACTATTAATCCATAGCAGTAAATCAGTGACATTATTTGGCCCTTTTTTGACAGCATAAAGGAAGATGGGACACTAAATCTTTGTCATTCTATCTGCAGGGGAAACTTAGAAAACAAAGGGCATCAAATAATCCCCATAAGCTGTATGAATTTATGCACAATATCCGTGTAACAATTACTTCTACTGGGGTCAGTGAACTCAAAAACCAGCGTTTAAGTCTTTTCATGGAACTTGAAGGGAGACATTCTAGGTAATTTTACTGTCCCCGAATTCTTCTAAATAATTCATTTACTTTAAGAAATGCATGTCCATGTTTATAACGAGCTGCATATTATCTGTGACTCAGACTCATGTCACTTGGCAAGCAATAGCCAAGGTTGTGGCTAATGGGGTGACAGAGAATCTGGCAACTCAGCCCTTCAAGAAAGATGTACCTTAAGAAATAGTGCTACTAACAAAAGTCATCATGCAGCATATCAAAATGACACTGTACATTAGTCAATGGTAATAAATAAAGTTATGATATTGGAAACGAACTGGATATGACTCTGATGATACTGGATGACAAATCTGTATAGAGGTACAAGGGATATGGAATTGAAATGGTTCAGTACCATTTTTAAGGTTGGTTGCTGTATTAGAACCATCAAAATTTTTCCTTTCTATTCTCAGGAAATCAATGAATCAATGACACCTTTATGTCCAATGATGAGTACTTGTGAAGTCTTTAACTTTCTGGTTCAATTAGCTTCTGAAAATAGAAGTAGACTTGGGACATTGGCCATAATATGCTACAGGTTGAATTTCCCCCTCCCTCAAATATCAGTACTTGGAAAGAACTTCTTTTAACCATAGTCAACCGGAGGAGAAAATCTTAGCAGCACAATAACTTCTGTAACTTGACTGTTCTTTATGTATATATGACTATACAATCAACATGCAGTGAGTCTAGTGTGGAACAATAATCTTATGATTATCATCTGAATTCAAAGGCACTTAAATACACAACCTAAGGGTGCTGTACACTGATGCTAGCTCTATTATGGCATACATTTAATAGCTGAAAAAGCAACATCTCTCATTCTGATCATGCAGCCATGAACTTCAAAAGCATCTGACCTCTGAACTAAGCAGCAATGTAGTTTGTAAGTTCTAAACTTAGTATGTATACTTCTGTTTTTCAGTTCCAAGAGCTGAAACTTATAAACGCTTATGATGAGCTCCTCAGTTTATAAGATTATCATCAACATAGAATAATCTTTCGCTATAGACCCTACTTCAATAACTTCAGCTTACCAAGAATGACTTCAGGTGCTCTGTAATGCCTCGTAGACACAATGGTGCTATGGTGTTCATGGTCAAAAGTTGCACTACCAAAATCAATCAACCTTACGTCTGTCCTTTTCACACGCCTGATATCTCGTTTCTGCAGATAGATGCAAAAATCACATGCCATGTTACCTGAATTCGGTAAACTAGTGATGATGTCTTTACACATATTTCACAAGAATTCTTAAGTTGGAAAACTTACCTTTTTACTGTTGTAGCAAATTTCGAAGTCAGAGTCAACAAAAAGAATGTTCTCAGGTTTGAGATCGGTGTGAGTTAATTTGTTATCATGAAGAAATTTGACAGAATAGCATAACTGATATGCAACATGACGAACGGCATCCAGGGGATATGGCTGGTAATTATTATCCTTCTGAAATACGAAAACAAAACACCATCATGTCACAATATATGCTCAAACCTCACTGAGACAATGCCCTGAAAACACATTTTAAATACACATATACAGTGAAAACACCTGAAGCTTATACTGAGAAAAAACATTAGCACTGCCAGTTTTTCTTAATGCCAAACACAGAAAAATTTCATATAAAACGAGAGCATTTAACACAATGAGCAACTCCTACACAGCTGTTAACTTCCTAAAAAACACAGCCTACATTCATAGCCAAGAGTCCATAAAGGTACTATTAAATTACACCCTGTGCTTCTCCCCTGTTTAGCGAAAGTCTACAGCATATTCCTGATTATATGTGCTCATGGGAAAAGGTGCACAATAACTGAACAACACATATGATTCAAGTTATGGGTGTCAGGAGACCATGCTGATTGTCACTTTCGATATACAAATTTAGAAATTTGATTTGTTCAACTGTCTATTAAAAAAAACCGGTAAGACCTACAGAAAATGTGTAAAGCTTCTGCTTCAAATACTTACTGCTCTGATAAATATAAACAGATTTAAGATAGAAAAGTAATATGAATTATATACTTACCAGAAAGTCAAAAACACTCAGTCCAAGCATTTCAAATGCAATACACATATGACCGTGGTAGTCGAACCAGTCAAGCATTTTAACACAAAGGCTGAAAAGATAGAAATAAAGGTTCATAAAGCGTTTCTAACTGTAAGAATATGTTCCTAGTCAGAAACAAAACCAGGAGTGTGGTTATTCTGTCAGGAACCTGTCTTAATTTCATTACAATTCTACTAACTGGAACAGTAACGAAATTTATGCCAAAATCTTATCTTTTTTGCAGAAAATAAGCACACCAGAATAGGCAACACGTACACAAGCACTCACGATTCCAATATGTATTTCATTATGTATGTCTGGAATTAGAGCAATGCATAAGTTTGCTTTACAGCTGTGTTCTTTGGAAAACTCAGTTGTATTAATACACTACTGCATTTATTGTCACTATCAGATTTCTTCTTTCTTCCACATGAACAAAAGAGTGATGAATTTGCAGCTTAAAACAGTCACATGTTCAAGTCAACATTCACACACAATGATTTTAGAAATAAATGTAGAGGTAGTGAAATTTCTTACAATTATTTACATTACCCTATTTTATATATGTTGTATCATGAAAGCCAGTTCCTAGCCAAAATTTACGATGAACACCTGAATATGAGCCCAGACACGGGTGTTCCACGATACAAACACATCTTTCAACTTCTGCTATGTGTTCATGAGCCCAAGAATTTGCTACCCTAAATAATGCTTCTGTCATTTTCATTCATTCTATGAAAATATCAGTCCAGTATTCTAATTAATAGTCTAATGCAAAACAGAAAATGATGCCATTTGCAACCATGATGTGTGGATAATGGTTTGGAAAAGTTCACAACTGCCACTTCTTTATACTCTCATGAAATTAAATTCACCCTTACATGCACTATAAAACTATCTAGACAAATTTTGTTAAAGGCAATGAGTCCAGCTGTGCAAATTTAAAACAAACGTGGCCTGGAAATAACCCACAAATTAATTATTTGCTTAAATACAAGAAGGCGGCACAGAAAAAAGTATCCTTTAATAACGTAATCAACACTTCCCTTGCAGGTGGGCATGGCAATGGTAAGAAACCATGCCTCCAACAGACTGAATGTGACCATCCAATTCTTTTAGTAGTTATCATGGATCAAAGAGGTTTAAGTGGTAAACAAAAATTCTGTATGCAAGCATCCATAAAGCTAAACTTTTTCAGTGAAGCTGAATGCATTCTTGTTCTATGGCTAGCATAATGCTGCTCAGTTTACACTTCTGACAAGACTCTTTATTAATATCAAATCATGAAAACAATTACATGTCCATCCCAGAACTACTTATGTTTTGTATTTACGTGACATATTCCACATCCTAAAGTCATTTTGACTAACTCTGGATCCATGCAATGCAATGCAATGCAATGCAATGTAATGTAATATAAAAATTCAAATGTTATATGAAACACGCTTATCTGTGATATACTATGCACATTCCCAATTTGTTTCAAATAGCAATCAGAATGAAACAAATGAATTATATATATATATATATTCCACTTCTTTATATCGGTAAACAAGAACAGGGAAAAGGGACAGAAGAATATGCTACAATAAAATAAATTATTCTAACCATAATACTAACTACTATGAAAACCTACTTAATGTTTCTCTGTGGCATAATATATTGAAAATTAATCTACGGGAAGCCTTGGTGCTGGAAATTTAACAATGGAATGCTTGGAGCCAGGAAGCATCTACTGAATACAAAATGAGAACAAATCTTCATTCAAGGAATATTACTTGGGGGCCAGCTTTGTATACTGAACTGATAACAGTATTACACATAGAGATTTAACATTATCACATTACTTACTGTCTGCCATCAGGATCTTTCTCTGCAATTTTCTCTAGGGCATTGATCTCTAGCTTGGCTGCTTCCCGATATTTCTCAACATTCTTGATAATCTTAAGTGCCATCACATGATCTCTGCATAAAACAAAAAGCAACAATATTAGAAATCACTTTGATGAACTGGTTTCTCACAAAAGAAATAGAATAGACTTATGAGTCAGTCTCAGATGTACAGCGGGAGTGGGAGAACGGCAGCAGATGCTGGTAGGTCAAATGAAAGAAGCTACCATCAACCTTCAGTAAAATAAGACAGTACCAATTCTCTGTTCTGTAATTAAACACCCTTATAAACTGAGATAGGATGGATGAAAAGAGCAATAAACTGCAAAGAATCACACATATCCAAATTTCAGGCAGCATTTACATTTACATTCATGAACATAAACCACCATCACTGACACCCACTACTACTGTAATATCAGTAGTACAGAACGGAAAAATCATGACCTAAAGATAGTTAATAGATCCTTTCAAAATGTGGCAGAGTTCAAATATTTGGGAACAACAATCAAAATTTGATTCAGGAGAAAATTAAGAGGAGACTGAATTTGGGTAATGCTTGCTACCATTTCTCCAGAACCTTTTTTGTCTTCTCATCTGCTGCCTAAAACCGTAAAAATTAAAAACGGTAATTTTGCCTGTGGTTCTGTATGGGTGTGAAACTTGGTCTCTGATATTAAGGGAAGAACACAGACTTGAGGATTTTTAAGAACAGGGTGCTGAGAATATGTCAATTGACGAGAGATGAAATTGGAGGAGGTTGGAGGAAACAGCATAATGATGCGTTTCGTAACTTTTAATCTTTGCCAAGTATGGTATAATGATCAAGTCAAGGAGGATGAGATTTGAAGGTCGTGTAACATGCATGGAGGCAAAGAGGAATGCATTTAAGGCTTTGGGGGAAAGCCAGAAGGAAAGAGACCACTAGGAAGACCAAGAAGCATGTGGGTGGATATTATAATGGATCTTAGAAAGACAGGATGGGGTGGTATGGACTGGATTCATCTGGCTCAGGATAGGGGCCAGTGGAGTACTTCTGTGAACATGATAATGAGACTTCAAATTCCATAAAATCCTGTGAAGTTCTTGAGTACCTCCACGACTGGCGACTTCTCAAGATGGGATCAGCTCCATGAAGTTAGTTAATTAGTTGTATCATATGAATATTAAAAGAAGTATTTAATGAAAGCTAAAAGTACACTATACCTAACAACATGTCAGTGCTTCAAAAAACCAGATTCCAGCTAAAAATATAAAATTATTATATTTTGTGGCCAAATGCTTCTAAAATAAAGACCTCTGTCTTAAAAATAACCAAAACATTTTGTTACAACACAACCTTTCCTTACGTGAAACTTATTGGAAGACGAAATAAAAGCATCAACCCTCTTCACATAGTTGATTTAAAGAATTATTCTGACTGCTAAGGTTTCAGAATTCAATGCTCAAATTTTTATGGTCCTTCAATCATGAAAAGCAATGAATCATGCTTAAATACAATATTAATCCATGTACTGAAACAGCAAGCTTCCATTTGGCAATTAACACGTTCAAGAATATTCAGACTGTGATCTTCTGGGTTGTGACATTGTGTAGCATTCATCTTCAGGGTCAAGGTGAACTGACAAGGATGCTGTCAGATTACATAGGCATATTGCACGGAAGGTGGACACTCAGATGAATGGTAAGGGCAGAAAAGATGGAGCCCAGTCTTAGGCACAGGAACAGTGAACAAAACTGAGAAGAAAGAGTACCATTGATGAGACCCCACTTAACCTGACCCTGTATCGAGGCAGCCGGTTCATCCCAACAATGGTAATCACCTACAATACCACATCCTGAACATTCACCACAATGAAAACTGGAGCAATTTTATGTTTAAGAATAGCTCAGGATAGAAAATCTACTTACACATGCATATCCTTAACTTTTACTACTTTGCCAAAAGTGCCCTCCCCAAGGGTGGCCAGGATCTTATCTGCAAATGAAATTCACATGAAAATTATTACATGTGAGCATAATGACTGCACTGTTGTTAGAAACCACTTCGTTCTGATCACACAAATTCAGATAACTTCACTTACCATTCGGTCATCTGTTTCGTGCAAAATATATGCATATTCACAATAAAACTATTCTCAAATTCCTACACTGGCATTAATATTAATATTGCTTCATACTTATATACTTTCACTAAACTGCTATGCAGTGGAACAAGACATAGAAGTCTGCATACATGAACACAACCTTAAAACTTATGTCAATAAACTTCAATTACGCAAGTGGTCTCCAACACGCACAGTCTCCCACAATGACATTTCATAAAAATATCACCTCATATAATCTCCCTATTAGGCAGTATAATTTGTTGAACTGCTACATTAAATGGTAAATCGCTTTCATCTTTCAAAGTTAAAGGAGAATTTGAAAGTAACTGTACTATCATGCTTAAGTATCTCTTTTATGAAAGAAATTTCTTCTTTCCCCTTGATCTCATATCATGCCATCTATAATCCATCTTCCCCCCTCCCACAACGCACACAGAGCTGAAAAGGAACAGTTGTTATTAATGCATTCTAACTGAGAAAAATGTGTGAAAATGTTTGTTCTCCCCATGGAATTGGTGTAATATCAGGGGAAATGATAGTGTCTATTAGTATATCTACTACAAAGTGGTTGTATTCACGAACATCGGTCTTGAAGAACGTCGCCATGGCGATATATCAGGTGGCCATCTTCGTCGTCTTCCACCGAGGGTGCTCGAGAGCTCTGCTGGATGGCAAGTCACCACACCACACCGTCCGTCAGTCACAGGACATGGTCCAAGCCGTTGCCAATTTACACCAACCGAGCGAGCAGAGTGAACAGGGCGGGCAGGGCAAACAGGCACATCCGATCACGTGGCGCAGTGGGCGATAGGTAGAGGTTGAGGTGCCATTTCATTGCCGCCAATTCAAACCGAGATGCGAACCCAACAATCAAGAGACAAAGAGGGGAGAGGGCAAAATGGTTTGCCATGTCAACAAATGATGTTAAGAATGATTGCCATGGGAACAAAATAACAAAGTGTTACCACAGCAATACAACAAACAAATGGAGGCAATGGCATTGGGGAATTATCTTGATGAACCTTTCTTTACAAATTAACTAGAGTTATTTACTGAAAGGGTGGGATTAAGTCAAATCAACTATTACCACAGCTTTCCTATTCACACGCGAGAAAGTCAGAACTGTACTTCTGAAAGGGGATTATATTCTTAAATTTTACTGTCCACTTTAGTGCTTAAATGCTCAACTGGATATCTTTAATTTACCAGAAGTGGTGTCTTACCAGCGTCTCTTACTGCAGAGCCGCTCAGCTACAACTAAGACTTAGCATGCTGCTGGGGTCAGATCAGTGGATCAGACACTTGCTGTTAGTCACACACATACCTTCAAAGAAACACATGATAAATACAAAATAGTTATAAAAACTGGGTTATCATATGCTTGGTGTTGTCCTATCTGCATACTAATTAAAGGAGCAAGGCAAACCATTTAGTATTACAAAGGAGACACCATGCATCAATCAAACTGTAATTACACCAATTATATGAAAGTTATTTCAATTTAGCGTAAAGCATGACACCTTCAACTTCAAATACTGCTCTGAACAAACATTAAAGTAGATTAATGACACAGAAGTTATTAACCAAACACATAACACTATCTTTAACAGCACTATACAGCCGAAATTTGCAGACAGATTTTCTGAATACTAGTAAGAGAAACAACCTCCTTTTACCTTTCACAAACACTTTAAAAAACACTGTTGTTCAACAACTGGGGAGTTAATTAATTTATAATACTGATTCTGTTAACCCCATAGTTGTCTGGGAATAATAGCCTTTAACTGTCACACAAGGTTGAGTCAACAAAACTTGTTTGTCTCATGCTTCCAAAGCCATCACTACTTACAGTTGGCACCAGGGCAGGCGCATATTTGTGCTGGTACTTGTTGGCAATATCTGAGGATTTCAATGACTTTTGCTTATTTGAGACTGCCTCATATGCTCTGTTATAGGCATCATCTAACAAGTAGTATTTTCCTTCTGGGGCACCAACTCTTCCACCAGACTCCTCTACTGTATATTTTCCTTCACCCACAGACTTATTGTATGCTTCATCCAACGCAGTATATTTCATGATCAGGCTCTGAATCTCTTTCCGTCTAACCTCACGTTCAATCACAGCATCGTCTATAGGAGGTTCCTGCTTTGGAGATTCAATACTAGAAGGTTCAATTTCAACGGGACAAAGACGTAAACCAGATGTCAGCAGCCTCCGTTCACCCTGTTCACTTTTGCCAACTCGTACAGGGCGCACAGGAACCCTGCGGGAATGATCCCCTTGACCAGACTTATGCCTATGGCGATGACTGCTGCTGTAGACCTGCTGCTGCTGTTGCAGAAGTCTATGTTCACCATGGCGATAGGGTGTTTTCTCTCGAACTGGAGCGACTGAGCTTTTACTCACATAGGGGTAAGCCTTTTCCGCAAGTACCACATTAGCGGTGGTGGCACTTTTGGTTAACGGTACAGGGGATTTAGAAACTTCTTGCTCTGATCCTGTTTCCACCCGTTGCGATTCTGTAGCACCCCTGCGATTTCCTGCACCTTCTCGCCGACGTCCATATTTGTCTAGTACCGCAGAATACTTGTCTTCTAGCCTGGATCTGGTGGTTCCCAACCCAAGAGCTGCCGAAAATGCAGATGATGCTGGTGTTGATGCAGTAATATTATCGGTGGCAGCGGAAGTTCCGCGTACTCGCGTGGTGATACGCTGCAGCAAACTGGAGCACGATTCACTCAGCAGCTGAGTTACGCTGGCGGTCGTGGAGCGGGAGTAGCGATGTCTTCTGGCCTGAGCCGCCGAAGTAGTTTCATTTATGTTTGCACGAGAAGCCATCCTTCTGCTATCTTCAAAGGTCAGTTCCGATCTGGACCCGACAGTACGAAATGGTAATGAGAACTCTTGGGGGCCGAAATGTCCGTTCAGCGTTGTCACATATTGCAAGTGTTTACTGCTGACCGTAGGGTTCGGCCAGTCATCTGAGGCCAAGACTGCAAAACTGCGTCAATTCCCCGAACTGTTTTTGCATTGCAGATTTTGCTACCGCTATAACAACGGCGTTGTGTCCTGTGAGCTACACATTTTCGTCGTCTTGAGTCATAGTTACTTCTTCCGACCTCCCCCACAAACTATTCGGAAACGTGACAACACTGCAGCCAGGGATGCAACTAAAGATACTCTCTCTAAGCTTGCCTCCCCTGCCAAATACTGGCCCGACTAAAAATACCAGGCAAAGCGAGCTCCAAGAAAGAATGCGCAACGCAGTATCTTTCTGCTAATTTCTTACGTAGATCGAGGTGGGGCAATAAAAATATATGTTTTATAACCACGATGTTCTACGAATAAATTACTTATGAATACTAAACCCGAGTGTCTTTCGAGCTGAATGCATGCGACCTGACCACAATGAAGTACCCAAACCAAACATCCTGTTGACCATTTCTTTAAAGTGTTTTGCCTAACGTACTTTAGCAGGCGAATCTGTTTCCTCACATAAGACTTGCTAGAGCAAATGTTAAGTTCACTACTTTTTTCCATTCACGCTCTGACGGCAGACGAATAATCACCTCCGTTCATCAGTTCAGAATACAGAGCACGCAGTCGGCATTCCTTTTCTTGTTCGAGCAGGTTGATTACATTCTGTTGTTGATATTGGACTACTGGTTGGAATTCACAGATCTGAAGTTGGACGTGACTACAATTAAGTGAGGACAGTTTTGACGACAAAGGCTCTAGAATACGTACACGTCGACTGTTGCTATCACTATTTCAGGTAGGTAAGTAGTAACAGTGTTAATACCGGACGGCAAGCCACGCTTCGTTAAATATGCAAACTGATCATGCCAACGCTTCTTCTTCTGCCTCTACGGATTCGGCGCTCTGGGCTGTTCCAATTCAGAATTAACTTCTGAAACTATGGATCTAATAAATAACTGATATGACTCACTGGCCGGAAGATTGACCCTCGCAAGGCCTCTTCCTATACAAAATAAAGCGAAGGGGGGGGGAGGGGGGAGAGAGAGAGAAAGCTGACATACGTCCAAGTCCCAAATGGGATCGAACCCACGATCTAAAGACTCGTATACGAACCTTGGTTCAATGCCGAATCACTTTATTAACATTTCGGTATCAAATGTAATCTGTTCCTGTCTCATAATTAAACCATCTTCAGTTAATGAGTACCAACTTTCGATAATTCAATGTGTAAAAACATGTACACAGAAGTGAGCTACACAACTAAAAATTCACGTGACAGAAAACAAGACTTATGGCAGGAAAAATGAAGGGACTATCAAAACGTGGTTATTTAACGTAAATATGTGACGATGATTACGATGTAGCACAGAGGGAGAGGGAGTTGCTTCAGTGGAGGTTGAGATGAAACCACAAGACGATCCTCTGATACACATTTGGAATGGCTACCACGCAGATACAATTCAGAAGCGTTACCGATGAGCTAACCAGTCAGTCACTATTCGAATAAATTATCCCTCCAATTAAGACCATTTCAGAACGATTGATAAACCTCTCAAACAGCTTATTTTTCTGCCCAATCCGGTCAAGTTTCACACAGCATTTGGTTCACATTCGAACAAATGTCCCATTTTAAAATCGTAACTTGGATAAACCTGGTTTCAATGAGACACAGCTAAACTGCATTAATGGAAATGTGCACAAACATCAATATTTTGCAGGACAAGATGAACCCTGCAAATCCACACTTCCTTGCATTATACTCGTAACTAAGTTCTTCATATTCGCTGGCAAAGTAAAGCGCATTTTATGATTCAAAAGTCATTAGAGACATCCTTCGCGAAAGCGAAACTCCCAGTTTCCTTTAAACACAATTCATTCTGCACTGAAACTGCGCACACAGAAACAAAACCACGTATTCAGGACGTTTAAGGTATATAAATCGCTTGTAATATTCCTTCCATATCACTAGTACTGTCAGGGAACTGCTAGCCTATCGCCCTCAATGACCATTACCTTCAACCAACTCTTGGCAACATCCGGAGCGCTTGCTCGAGCACGCACCCGTGACGACGGCGCTAAATCGAGGCTGGTTACAGCAGCACCATGTCCCATCTCTCCAGTCTTCGCGATAACCTGAATATTCAACTAACAGCACAACCGGCATAGTAATGTCATCTATATATCCATACCCATGTGCGCCTCCTTGGTGTAGTGCTTCTTTAGTGAGTAGAGAGAAAACTTCTTTTTAATTAGTCACTGTATATGTTGAGAAAAAATGAACGCATCATTCGTTTCTCAAACTTGGTAAGGAAAGTTAACAAAAAGGAGACTTCATGACTAAAACAGAAGCAATAGTTCATTAATTCTTTGGAGATTATTTGCTTGTTAGCCACTTCAAAGACGTCAAGACGATTTTCACGTGAAAGGAGTTCAATCAAAATCCATGCTGTAAGCAAAGCAACACAAACTTCAGAGCATAACAAAGCACAACACAAACCCGATACCTTAACCTGCTGGGAAATATAGTCATGGGAACGGGATGATAAATACAATACACAATTAGTTTCGAAACAGTATTATAGGCAGTCTATACCTGTCCATACAGGGATTGGGATCTAAGTGGGCACTATCAGTCTCGAAGCAACGCTCGACCCATGTGTGGGGAATTTAGTTCCATTATTAACACTGTTGTAGCATGTAGTTTCAGCAGATTGCAGAAGCCGGGTATCGGACTGTTATGTCGTGTGACACTAAGCAAGCGATGTGGTTAGTTTCCTGGCTCAATGTATTCTATGTCATGGCTTTGCAGCTGGAGAACGTGTTGCAAACGAACGTTTTACTGAAGTTTCAATTTCTGTTTCTGCTACAGCTTTCAGTTCTTGTATTGTGTGTGTGGCCTTAAACTCTCATTTATAAACCCTCACTGGATATCACAGCCTTTGTTTATAACAAGCGAGGTTGAGGGTCATTATAAGATAGGCTGAGATAACCGAATGGTCAGTGACATAAGAGAATAAGAAAGAATATTTTCGACTCTGACCCACCCATTGTGGGTGCAGCAGGTTGCCTGTGCTGTGAGCATTTCCGCTTAACAGAAAACATGCTTTATTCTAATACTACGTGAAGTTTAACATTGAAGTTGAACTTGTACTTCCGTGGAGCACAGTCCTTCTTGTGAAGCTAACACTTTGCCAGTCCAAGATACTCGCATTCCTTGGCAATACATACAGGAAGTTCGAAAAGTCGTGCACATCAAACTAAAAGTTATTATAAATTGTATTGCAGTTAATATAATTATATCTCCTACCGCTAGATGGTACTGTAGGAGTACTAACGAGCACAAACGCCATCTGTCGTGTATCGGTCATACGACGTCTGCAGTATAACTTTGTTTATTGCGTGACAGACATGTCGTTTTCCCAAGAACGAGTTGTCATTGCATAACATCATTTCGCCAGTCGTTCTTATGCACGTGTCGCAGACGAGTTTCGTCGGGGATATCCGGATTCTTAAGTTCCTAACAATTAGACGATAACGAGAATAATCAACCGATTTCGGGAATGTGGATCAGTTTTAGATAGGAAGAGATCCGGGAGACCGGCCATTTTGACTGAGGCTAAAATGGCTGATGTGAAGAAAATGTTGCGGTGTTTGATCGGGGTTCTTCACTGACGAAGCGTGGTTTCACCTTAGTGGCTACGTGAACAGTCAAAACAATAGGATCTGGTCATCTGAAAATCCACACGTGTTACATGAAAAGCCCTTGAACTGTCAAAAAATTGGAATGTGGTGTGCTGTACCACGTCGTCGAATAGCGGGCTCAATTTCCTTTGAAACAACAGTGAACAGTCCAGTGTACCAAGACATCATTATACAGTTTATTGCGCTCTTTGAAGCTGATGAACGTGAGTGTTGGTTGCAGCAAGACGGTGCCATATGTAACCATCTAATGAAACCACGCAGTTCTTGCGCGAGTTTTTCGGTGACTGTCCCATTTCGAAAGGATTGCGGCCCCAGCGTTCGCCCAATTTGTCACCCGCAGAATTTTTCCTTTGGGGGTACCTCAAATTGTCTATAAAAACAATCCGCATACACTGGATGACCTGAAGAGGAGCATTACGACGGCGATTAACGGCATCAGTTCCATCAGTTTACAGGTGCTCCACAAAGTGGCCTCAAACACGGTAAAAAGAGCTCGCGCATGCATTGCTGAACAGGGAAGCCATTTCGAGCATATGTTGTAAAGACATGATTTGATTTTGCATTTCTAAGATGTAAGGTTATAAACATTAATAGTAAGTGCTGTATGTCTTGTAGTTTGTGCATTAAACCAGCAAAATATAATTGCTTAGTGTGATGTGCGCAACTTCTCGATCTCCCTGTACAACCCGAAGGTTCATTACTGTCTTCACAAGGACCCCTTTTCCGAAAACATGTTTGCCGCTACTCTCATGCTTGGTTTTCGCCTCGTGATCGCCAACACAGACGCGTCGGCAGATCTGCGACTTTTGAGACAACTGTCAGAACGAACAAACTGTCTGCCGATATGCGCACCGGTTTCGTGTGTGTGCGTGTGTGTGTGTGTGTGTGTGGGGAAGGGGGGGGTTTGGAGCCGTGAACACACTGCCGATATTAGAACATAATTTTAAAATTCATCCATAGGGAAATGCTTATATCGTGTGCTAAATTTTATTCGAGTACTAAAGATATGTCAAAATCCATCCACTGAGAAAATATTTCCCATCTTAATATTCAAATAAAGAAATTGTTAAAGTACAGACGCAAAGTCATCAAAGACACTGTCATGGCAGTCTCAAGCTGTATTACAGGCTTGGTTTACTACAAAGCAATTTCGTTACGTAACAATCGGCTGGGTGGGGCGAGACGTCTCGAAACAATAAAAATACAGCTACAGAAAACTTTGGTGCACTCCACGCGCAAGCTTTTCACAGTTGCTGCAATATAATTCAATTCATGTTAACAGAACTATGTTGCTTTACATAATTATAGTAATTAAATAACCAATCAAAACTGCGAACTTTCGTCAACATCATCGATGTTATATATTTCATGGGGCAAAGAACTTCGAGTTCTTAACATTTTTCATTAATAATTAATACACCGAAACGTACATTTAATTGCAATACTACACTTCTTAATTTTTTGTAACGACCGGTCGGACCCAAGACGACAGTCTGAGATTCACTGCTCTATTCCGACAACGGCAGGAAACCGAAAACTGATGCAATGTCGAAGGAAATTTACATTATCATATACGTAGGTCGTACTGAAAGTCATGAGCAACAATTTCTTGTAAAGCAACATGCTTTATTATTGACAAACCAAATACACCACCTCAATCTACAGACCTTTCTTTATTTTTCCACATAATCGCCACTTCTTTGTACATATTTCTCCCAGCTTTCTGGGAGTTTGAAAATTCCCCTTCTGTAAAATTCCGTTCCAGCCATCCGAAGACACTGACGCACTGCTTTCTGAATTCAGCGTGCTTATGGAAGTGTGTGCATGGGTGCGAGCAGTGTTCGAAGATGGGTGAAAAATTTTAAAGATGGGAACACCAGCATCGAAGATGAGCCTCGGAGCGGTCGTCCTCGAACAGCCTCAACTGAACGCAACAAGGAAAGAGTGGATGAGATCATTCAAGATGACAGGCGTGTGACTGTTGACACAACAGCCCGAAAACATGGAATAGGGCACAGTGCAGTACAGGAGATTATTGAAAGCTTGGGCTGTAGGAAAGTTTGTGTTCGTTGGGTCTCGCGGTTATTGACCGAAGACCACAAAGGTCACACTGGATGAAACTGCAAAGATGGGGTGGGAAGTTCTTCCACACCCCTCCTATAGCCCTGATCTGGCACCCTCCAACTACCATCTTTTTGGATTTGTGAAGATCAGCTGCGTGGACAACGTTTTGAGACAAGGGAGACAATTCAGAAAGCAGTGCGTCAGTGTCTTCGGATG